CCGTAACATTTAAAAAATAATATTATTACAAATATGTCGTTAAATGCAAGATAAGTAAACATAAATAAAGTAATAATTTATTACTGTTTCTATAAGTTAATAATAATATAGTTTAAGGGGAAATATAACCTCAAATGGCTTAGCAAGATCCTCCGTTATGCCGAAAGTATTGCAGCATTAATTTTGAAATAAATATATGGTAAAGTTGAGGATTAATGTTAAGGTTTATGTTAGACGAAAACACGATTCCGTAAAATTTTCTCGATAGAAAAAAATCCAAAGTTACCTCCAAACTGAACAATAAACCGCTGTTATTCATAAAATACTTTAAATAAGATCATGAAACTTTGCATACTAACTGAACTAACCATAAAGCAGTGCTTATGTTATTTACTTTTTTTAAAATATCATTATTTTCACTGTAAAAAAGAAATTACCTAAACTATCGGCGCGTAAGCTTGGTTCCTGTCGCTCCGTTAGTATTGCTCCGGCTATTGAAGGGAGAAGTTGTGTCGCTTACGATCAGAAAACACATTACGCAACAGGAAGACGTAAAATTAAAATGGGAAATAACCGTTATAAAAATAAGAAGCGACTGGGTTGGCGTTAAGAAACAGGCATATATATGATAAACATAATGAAATAAGTATCTAACGACCTATCTACTTAGAGTATTAGTGATTACAAACATGTCGGTACATAGCATACGACGCGCGGGGAAGTGGGGGCGAAATTAGAATTTGAGCTGACTTACTCTCACCTCTTAAGTGAGAGACCCTATGAGTACTGTAATGTACTTACTAAGTTTGCATATAAATGTTTGACTATGATTAAAATTAAACCGTTCCGAATAATATGCCGAAATTGTCGCATATCTTAACGTAGCAATCGTAGCATAATGAAGATATTGAATCATTTCAAATGATTGTCAATGAGTTCTATTAGGAAAAGTTGTAAAAAAACGCGATTCCAATATTCACAAAGAAAGAACCATAAATCAAGGACCTGCTTCATAGATTTCGCCATATATCTTTTTTTATTACTTTCATAGGAGGAAGGTGCTTATTCAGAAATTATTCAGAAAAAAAATAAAACAAACTTTTATACATTTAGTAATATCACACCAGAAACTTTAAAGTTTTCTTAGGTGAAGAAAATATATAATATTATCTTATATATTTCCTTAATTACTCGTATAATAATTAGATGAGTCATCATCAGCTTATGATCATTAACTTTACGCAAGTAATTTTATGTATTAAAATTTTATTGTATATGGTTTCTCGGCAAGGGTTTTAAATATTTAGATATTTTATGTAATGTTTTACTTCCCAAGTTCATATATATACATGTATACTAGTTTTACGCAGAGGTATTAATCGTCTTATAAACATCCACGACACGTCTAACCGGTCGGTCTACCGGTAGTTCTTGGGAAATCTCTGCTCGAAGTTGTCAAGGAAAAAATGTTTGCGTAAATAAGCCTTTCAGCAATTATGAAGCCATTCGATAAACCTGATTAAACTGGACCTCGTTCGAAAAATTCGATCATAATATCATCGAAATAGATACCACCAACAAACTTAAAGCAAAGAAGATAACAGATACTTTGTGAGTCTTTAAGACGATGTAATGTTTCGAAAATTAAAATGATTCTAGTTTTCTCAATCTTCAATAAAATACAGACTGTGCACCCAGCACGGCTGCTTGGCGGTAGATAGGTAAGGAATTGTTACAAACTTAAAAGGATTTTTGTCCAGAAAGGCCCTAACATCTAATCATATAACTTAAAATAATTGATGTGTGCAACATGTGGCTATTTTTTATAGAATGCCGACGAAAACAAAAAATATTATAAAAGGGAATATATTCAGGTATACTGTATGATCTTATATCGAAAATATCTGCCAAATAACGTATTTAAGCTCTATTTTGGATCGGTTAGGTGGAGAGAGAATGGACCGACCACACTATAGTTCGAAAGACTTACTATCGGCCAGTTCAGTAAGCTAGCTCTCTCACATAATGGAGTGACAGTATGACAGGGCACGCAAAGAGTTGGATGCAAAATGACTTTCTTTATAGAATAAAGGTGACAAACGAGCACACTGTCCATCTTATAGTAAGTGGATGCTATGGCCCATAGACATACTACATTTATACTCGAATAAGAGTCAAAATGCAGATGCATTGCCATCCCTGAGGACTAAAATTGAGTCCCTCATTTTCAGCAAAAAGGATCTCCCGTTCTCTACACTCACCATACGAAACACAACAGTCTTAAGCTGTTATTTTACGCTGGTATTCTTCGAGAGCGTGGTTCTAGCTCAATCGTGCTACAACTTATAAAGCTGCAGCGTGGCTCTACCACGTGTAAGGCTTATTATTTATTCGTTTAAGGTGAATCCCTGACCAAAATGTTGCGAAAGTGCGTTTTTCAGACTCTATTATCTCATTAGTTATGAAAAATAAACTACATCTAAAAGTACATTATTAATGTTCGATATCTTATCATCACATTACACGTTCTAATTTATTTTTATGTGCTATAAATACATTTAAAATCAACTTTTAAAAAATGACTAAAATTCTTGATTACATGCATCTGTTGCTAAACGCAACGCTCTAATCATTTGAGGATAACACTAATGGATAGATAATTAAAAAATCTATATTCTCCACGTTTTATTTAAATTTTTAAGTTCGTTTTTTCTCTTTTAATTGAAATAATTCCGAAAATTGTGTGACTTCTATGATAAAGGGGCGTGCGCAGAGTGCGGGCGGCATTACGCTGTATGCGTTAGTAGGAGGTGGCCGCGTTCCGTATTTCGCCGCAAACATAATATTATTTGAGTACCTACCAACCGATGCGCTTACGTCACGGTATATTGTAACTCGGCCGTATCTTAGAAATAAATATTACAGCCGTGCGGTACGTAAACATGCGATAGGGATGCTGCCTCCAGTATTTTTACATTTGCCCATTGATTTATGTGTTTTATAACTCAATGCATTTTCCTACTTTGTGTTTCCATTTAGTTTTGTGATTGTACTTAAATATACTTTTTTATATAAACAAATATAATAGATACTTTGTGAATTGAATAGGAAGTGTTCAATAATAATGCGTGTCGTTTTATGATTGGTAGATTTAATTAAAAAACCATGTTTATATTTGAATAACAAATCGGTCTTAAAAATTTGCGGCCGAAAAATATTTGCGCCTCGGCTGAGACGTACGAAATGCTTAATTATTAAAATTTTAAATATAAAAAATCCGCATTATAATATAAAGCTTAATTAAAAATTGTTTTGGGAAACATGGACAACTTGGAGTAAAGGAATATCTTTTACTTGGTTATAGATACCTGCAGCTATTTTACAATTTATATGTTTGGTTTTAAATGAAGTTTGGATTTATTATTTTTTTTATTTCTATTCTATTTTCTGAAAGGGTCCTAGGAAAGGAATTATCCACCGCGCTGCCCCACTGCGTGTTGGCGAACTTTGCATGTCTTCGAAATATTATTTTTCTTATTTCTCAGACATGCAGGTTTCCTCACAATGTTTTCCTTCACCACTGAGCACGTGGTAAATCAACACTTAAAATTGCAATTACAATATTATTGGTGCCGGCGGGTATCGAATCCGGTTTGCTCGCACACTGTGAAAATTTTAGCAAGCGCTAACCATCTGAGCTACCACGGCTCCTCTCCAATCGAGCTAGAGACTTTATTTTATTTATCGTCAGGCCTGTTGGTCTAGTGGTTAGTGACCCTGACTGCTATGCCGCAGGTCGTGGGTTCGATTCTCAGCCAGGACAAATGTTTGTGTGATGAGCACGATCATTTGTTCTGTGTCTGGGTGTAATTTATCTATAATATTTATGTATTTAGAAATATATAAGTATGTTTATCAGTTGTCTAGTACCCATAACACAAGCTCTGCTTAGCTTGGGACTAGATGGCGTTGTGTGATATTTGTGGAATATTATTATTATTATATTATTATTGTTGGGGTATCTGTATAGTTTTCTCATCTGGTTGGTTTTTATAAATATAAATTAAAATGAAAAGATAAATATACATAAATATCAATAAAATAAAATAAATACAAAAAATATACAAATAAATAAAGATCCAACCATATTAAATAAAAAATAGTCTCCTATCTTTCTCTCTATGTTTTGATCTCCTAAAACGAGTTTGAGTTGGTAAAATCAAGGCAAACTTAGAGTAGGGTTGTCAATTATTATTTTGATAATAAAACTAGTGAAATTCCGCGGTTTTATATGCGCAAGCGTGAACGTAGTTAGAACATAATATAACCTTTATATTTTACATAAATATCCTAAAAAACTTATTATTTTAATATTTTACTAAGTACCTATAAAATTAACAAGTTTATTGCATTTTTATTTGAGTAATTTTTTATGCAATTTCTTTATCTACGTCTATTTTTAGGAACCTTTATTTAGTCTGAATCATACATAACACTATATTACTGATTTACTTACTTATACGTAGTTTTCTTTTTTGCAGTTACAAATATCTTGTGAGGTTGAAAAAGGCAGTAATGAAAAAAATAATAAGAATAATAATAATTGACGTCAGCCACTTCTTTTCACAAAAATTTCAGATCATGGTCCATTAGGTTGCAGCTTCACCGAACCACAACTTATAATAATAATAATAATAATAAAAATAATAACGAGCGACTACGACGTGAGGCTATTCCTTCATCGAATGGAAATGCTACGGCTGGGAATGCGGCGCCACTAGGTGCGCAACAAACTGCATATGTGGATGCTGCCGTCAACATTCCATTTGTGGCTAATTCAGACGATGATGGAATAGTCTCCCACGAACTAGAGAAAATGAGGAGCATATTGGAAGAGTCGATGCTGGAAACGCGCAGCATGCCTCTCGAAAATCGACCGCGACTTCCCCCGCATACCCCTTAGCAAGCGAAATCGGGCTGTCGTGCGGGCTCTTAACCCAATGCTGGTGACCTATTTGGAAGCCAGCCGGGACCTTTGCGAGACGGATTCAATTCTTTTTGGCGCCGCACTGGCAGTATGCCGTATTATTGGCGCCAAACTTCCCGTGGCTGGACGTGCTACTCAAAAAAGTAGCGCCATCCCAGCCTGGAGAAAAAGAATTGAGGACCGTATCGCAAAGGCAAGGGCCCTTATCGGCAGACTGACAAGCTTCAGGTCGGGTAATAATAGACCGAGGATTATGCGCACCGTTAGGATGGCGTTTGCTGGGACAAATATCAATTTGTTCCAGCCGGATATCACGCAAAAACTAACGGAGCGCATAGATGACCTGAAGCAAAAAATCGCTGCTTGGGGGAAGCGGATTCGACGATTTAGCGAGAGGTCAAGGCGGTTCAACCAGAATCGTCTCTTCCAGAGTGATCAGAAGAGGCTCTATAAAACATTGGAGCGACCAAAGGTATGTGGAGCGGGCCCAGGACCGGATCAGGCTGACACTGTCGCATTTTGGCGTGGCCTGTGGTCAGAGCCCGTAAACCACAGCGAGGGCCCTTGGATGGAAGTTGTGGCGAGCCAGAGTGCAAGTGTTACGCCTATGGACCCCGTCACTATAACGCCTGAAGACGTGGCTGAGGCGGTCCGTAGGGCCCCGAACTGGAAAAGTCCGGGGCTCGACGGGCTGCATCATTACTGGCTGAAGGGGTTCGTAGTGTGTCACGCTGTGCTCGCCCGACAGTTTCAAGAGGCTCTCGATCAGAAGTCGCTCCCGAGCCTCTTCACTACTGGGATCACTCATTTGGTTCCTAAAGATCAGGATACCACAGACCCGAGCAAATACCGCCCCATCACGTGTCTACCCACCATATATAAGACACTGACATCCATTTTGAGCGCGAGAATCACTCGTCACCTGGAGCTAAATCAGGTGATGTCACGCGCTCAAAATGGATGCCGGGGGCGGTGGTCGTGGAACCAAGGAACCACTCCTCATTGACGCGGTCATTGGCAAAGTGGTGAAACGCAACCGTCGGAATTTCTCCGCCGCCTGGATAGACTACAGAAAGGCATTCGACTCGGTGCCCCATACATGGCTAAAGAGAGTCCTCCAGCTGTACAAAATTGACTGTACAGTTGGAGACTTCCTCGGGCAGTGTATGGGGCAATGGAGTACGATCCTTTGCTATCTGGGCGAGCGGATGATGGCTGCGGAGAACCACATAAGGATAAGAAGGGGTATCTTCCAGGGCGATTGTCTGAGTCCAATCTGGTTTTGCCTCTCCCTGAACCCTCTCAGTACTTTACTGGAGGGCTCCGGGAGGGGATTTCAGCTTCGGAAAGGAGGTACAAAAGTGACCCACCTTTTTCTATATGGATGACCTCAAGTTATTCGCCTCCAGTCGCTCCCATCTTATGGAATTACTAAACATCACTTGTGAATTTAGCAATTCTATTGGAATGGAGCTGGGAACGGATAAGTGTGCGGTCCTCCATGTTGAAAGGGGGGAGGGTTGCTAACTCTGAGGGTATAGACTTATCTATGCCCGTCAACTTAAGGACCCTTTCCGAGGCTGAAACTTACCGATACCTGGGTATGTCACAGAACATCGGTATCGATGAGGCTGGTATGAAACAGTCAGTTTGCGACGTGTTTTATGCACGCTTGACCAAAGTGCTTAACAGCCTTTTGTCCGGTGTGAATAAGACACACGCATATAACGGCTGGGTCATGCCTGTCCTCATGTATACCTTTGGCATACTCAGGTGGACTCAGACTGAACTTAACGCCCTGGATAGAAAAGTCCGCACTACCATGACGTCCCACAGGATGCATCATCCGAGATCGTCGGTAATGAGGCTGTACTTGCCGCGAAAGCATGGTGGGCGTGGCTTCTTGAGCGCGCTCACCATGCATAATCGCGAAGTGTGCAGCCTCCGTAATTACTTCCTGGCGAGATCGGATGATCCATTCTATAAGGACGTCATTTTTTGTGATAAAGGACTTACCCCTCTATCCTTAGCCAACGAGCAATGGCAAGACCCGGCAGTGCAGACAATTTCCGACCGGGAGAACGTATGGAAGGAGAAGGAGCTCCACGGGAGGTTCTACAAGGCTCTACATGAGCCTTTCGTAGACACAGTAGCCTCCCTCTACTGGCTACGCTTTGGTGATCTATTCGGGGAAACCGAGGGTTTTGTCTGTGCAATACAGGATCAGGTTATTAAGACCAACAACTATCGGAGATACATCCTAAAGGATGGCACCGTGGACATCTGTCGAGCTTGTCGCCATCCCGGTGAGTCACTTAGGCATGTCATCTCCGGTTGTTCGGCGCTTTCTAACTCTGAGTACTTGCACAGGCACAACCTAGTAGCCAGAATTCTTCACCAGGAGCTCGCTCTGAAATACGGTCTCGTGGATCGGAAATTGCCGTATTACAAGTACTTGCCGGAAGCCGTGCTCGAAAATGATCGCGCCAGGCTCTATTGGGACCGGGCCATCATCACAGACAGGACTATTCTTGCGAATAAGCCTGATATTGTGCTGATGGACCGGGCACAGTCAAGGATATTTTTGGTCGACATTACCATTCCGTATGACGAGAACCTCGTGAAAGCCGAAACAGACAAGCAAACAAAATATTTGGACCTGGCTCACGAGGTGACTGACATGTGGGGTGGTCTGCCGACCGAAATTATTCCTGTAGTCGTCTCTGCAAACGGGCTAATCCCAGTCAGCCTCTCGGGTCATCTGAGGCGACTGGGACTACGTGGCGGACCGCTCCGGGCTCAAATGCAGAAGGCGGTGCTCCTCGATACCGCCCGCATCGTCCGCCGGTTTCTTTCCCTTTCCCCCTAACCCTCGGCCGTTTGGTCTCCCCTGCCGAGGGCCTCCATCTGGTTGGGCTTTTATTTATTTATGTATTTTTATATTTATTTTATGTTATTGATATTTATGTATATTTATCTTTTCATTTTCATTTATAATTATATATTTATAGAACCCAACCAGATGAGAAAACTATATAGATACCCCACATAAAAATAATAATAAGGCGTAGGGAAGTGACGACCCCATCGCCCGCTGACGAAACAGTTAAGTGACAAAACTGCTACGTCGGTGCAGTCAGTCAGCGCCTTGCCAAGAGGTGTGAGCGCCGTGCCTCGGCAGTACTCAGGGTGCAAAGGTCCGTTTGTGCTTACGGCCGTACAATGATGCAATGAAACGGTGCCGGGCCTGGGCGTCTCCCGTTAATTGGCGCCCAAAAATGGATGATGGATATGATTAGAAAGCGTATAAGGCCGCTGCCTGGGGGTCGCCGGGGAGCGTCTGAAGCTGGCGCTGGACGCGGCAGCATGCGGGCCGCCAGCCGAGCGCGAGGAGCTGCAAGATCACCTAGCAGCCCCCCGCATCCATCATCCCCACCAGACGGCTTGATGTCGGCAGGGTCCTCTCGGACTCGGCAAGCGGCATCCGCCGCTGGTGGAGTGCGCCGCATGCGTTGGACAAGAGATATGAACGCAAACGCATTGCGGGCGTACTATAGGGCGAAAGGGGAAGAAACTAAGGGGATAGCGTATCGGGCTCGGATGCATTGCTTTTTTGCTGAGCTGGAACCGTCTATTCTCGTCACGGAACAAAACCTGGCAGACCGAGTTCGGTACATCATGCGCACGAAAATATTTGATGATGCCGAGCTCGAACGACTACGGCGTGAGGCCATTCCCTCATCGAATGAATTGGCTACGGCTGGGGATGCGGCTCCTCAGGCGACAGACCAGCTGCCACGCGTAGAAGATGCCATGGATCTTCCAGTTGTGGTTGATTTCGACGATGATGAAATGGTCTCCCACGAACTAGAGCAAATGAGGAGTATACTGGAAGAGGCGATTTTGGAAACGCGCACCATGCCTCTCGAAAATCGACCGCGACTTCCCCGCATACCCCTAAGCAAGCGAAATCGGGCTGTCGTGAGGGCTCTTAACCCTATGCTGGTAACCTATTTGGAAGCCAGCCGGGACCTTTGCGAGACGGACTCAGTTCTTTTTGGCGCCGCAGTGGCAGCTTGCCGTATTATTGGCGCCAAACTTCCCCTGGCTGGACGCGCTACTAAACAAAGTAGCGCCATCCCAGCCTGGAGAAAAAGAATTGAGGACCGTATCGCAAAGGCAAGGGCCCTTATCGGCAGACTGACAAGCTTCAGGTCGGGTAATAATAGACCGAGGGTTGTGCGCTCCGTTAGAATGGCGTTTGCTGGGACAAAAATCAGTTTGTCCCAGCCGGATATCACGCAGAAACTAACGGAGCGCATAGACGACCTGAAGCAAAAAATTGCTGCTTGGGGGAAGCGGATTCGCCGATTTACCGAGAGGTCAAGGCGGTTCAACCAGAATCGTCTCTTCCAGAGTGATCAGAAGAGGCTCTACAAATCATTGGAGCGACCAGAGGTATGTGGAGCGGGCCCAGGACCGGATCAGGCTAACACTGTCGCATTTTGGCGTGGCCTGTGGTCAGAGCCCGTAAACCACAGCGAGGGCTCTTGGACGGAAGTTGTGGCGAGTCAGTGTGCGAGTATTACGCCCATGGACCCCGTCATCATAACGCCGGATGACGTAGCTGAGGCGGTCCATAGAGCCCCGAACTGGAAAAGTCCGGGACTCGACGGACTGCATCACTACTGGCTGAAGGGGTTCATGGTGTGTCACGCTGTGCTCGCCCGTCAGTTTCAAGAGGCTCTCAACCAGAAGTCGCTCCCTAGCCTCTTCACTACTGGGATCACTCATTTGGTTCCTAAAGACCAGGTTACCACAGACCCGAGCAAATACCGCCCCATTACGTGTCTACCCACCATATATAAGACACTGACATCCATTTTGAGCGCGAGAATCACTCGTCACCTGGAGCTAAATCAGGTGATGTCACGCGCTCAAAATGGATGTCGGGGCGGTGGTCGTGGAACCAAGGAACCACTCCTCATTGACGCGGTCATTGGCAAAGTGGTGAAACGCAACCGTCGGAACTTCTCCGCCGCCTGGATAGACTACAGAAAGGCATTCGACTCGGTGCCCCATACATGGCTAAAGAGAGTCCTCGAGCTGTGCAAGATAGACTGTACAGTGAGAGACTTCCTCGAACAGTGTATGGGGCAGTGGAGTACGATCCTTTGTCATCTGGGTGAGCGGATGATGGCTGCGGAGAACCACATAAGGATAAGAAGGGGTATCTTCCAGGGCGATGTCAGAGGCTGAGTCCAATCTGGTTCTGCCTCTCCCTGAACCCTCTCAGTACCTTACTGGAGGGATCCGGGAGAGGATTTCAGCTACAGAAAGGAGGGGCAAAAGTGACCCACCTTTTCTATATGGATGACCTCAAGTTATTCGCCTCCAGTCGCTCCCATCTTATGGAATTGCTAAACATCACTTGTGAATTTAGCAATTCCATTGGAATGGAGCTGGGGACGGATAAGTGTGCGGTCCTCCATGTTGAAAGGGGAAGGGTTGCTAACTCTGAGGGCATAGATTTATCTATGCCCGTCAACTTAAGGACCCTTTCCGAGGCTGAAACATACCGATACCTGGGTATGTCACAGAACATCGGTATCGATGAGGCTGGTATGAAACAGTCAGTTTGCGACGTGTTTTATGCACGCTTGACCAAAGTGCTTAACAGCCTTTTGTCCGGTGTGAATAAGACACACGCATATAACGGTTGGGTCATACCTGTCCTTATTTATACCTTTGGCATACTCAGGTGGAGTCAGACTGAACTTAACGCCCTGGATAGAAAAGTCCGCACTACCATGACGTCCCATAGGATGCATCATCCGAGATCGTCGGTAATGAGGCTGTACTTGCCGCGAAAGCATGGTGGGCGTGGCTTTCTGAGCGCGCTCACCATGCATAATCGTGAAGTGTGCAGCCTCCGTCATTACTTCCTGGCGAGATCGGATGATCCATTCTATAATGACGTCATTTCTAGTGATAAAGGGCTTACCCCTCTATCCTTAGCCAACGAGCAATGGCAGGACCCAGCAGTGCTTAGCATTTCCGACCGGGAGACCGTATGGAAGGAGAAAGAGCTCCACGGGAGGTACTACAGGGCTCTTCATGAGCCCTTCGTAGATACAGTCACCTCCCTCAACTGGCTGCGTTTCGGTGACCTCTTCGGGGAAACCGAGGGTTTTGTCTGTGCAATACAGGATCAGGTTATTAAGACCAACAACTATCGGAGATACATCCTAAAGGATGGCACCGTCGACGTCTGTCGAGCTTGTCGCCATCCCGGTGAGTCACTTAGGCATGTCATCTCCGGTTGTTCGGCGCTTTCTAACTCTGAGTACTTGCATAGGCACAACCTAGTAGCCAGAATTCTACACCAGGAGCTCGCTCTGAAATACGGTCTCGTGGACCGGAAATTGCCATATTACAAGTATTTGCCGGAAGCTGTGCTCGAAAATGACCGCGCCAGGCTCTACTGGGACCGGGCCATCATCACAGACAGGACTATTCTTGCGAATAAGCCTGATATTGTGCTGATGGACCGGGCACAGTCAAGGATATTTTTGGTCGATATTACCATCCCGTATGACGAGAACCTCGTGAAAGCCGAAACAGATAAGCAATCAAAGTATCTGGACCTGGCTCACGAGGTGACCGACATGTGGGGTGGTATGCCGACCGAAATTATTCCTGTAGTCGTCTCTGCGAATGGGCTAATCCCAGTTAGCCTCTCTGATCATCTGAGGCGACTGGGACTCCGTGACGGACCGCTCCGGGCTCAAATGCAGAAGGCGGTGCTCCTTGATACTGCCCGCATCGTCCGCCGGTTTCTTTCCCTTTCCCCCCTAACCCTTGGCCGTTTGGTCTCCCCTGCCGAGGGCTTCCATCTGGTTGGGCTTTTATTTATTTATGTATTTATTTTATTTTATTGATATTTATGTATATTTATCTTTTCATTTTCATTTATAATTATATATTTATACATCCCAACCAGATGAGAAAACTATATAGATACCCAACAGTAATAATATAATATTATTTTGTATTTATTTTATTTTATTGATATTTATGTATATTTATCTTTTCATTTTAATTTATAATTTTTATATATTTAAATATTTATATAACCGAACCAGATGAGAAAATTATACGGCTCCAACGATTTTAGCGACGAACGCTTGGATTTATTTTTAGAAAATGTCCTTTTGTCCATGTTTTCAGGCAATAAAAAAACTGCTACAATATAAGAAGGTAAATTTCGACTAATCATTAACGGTCCTTATAGCTCAGGTGGTATGTCGGTCGGGCGTAATATCGGAGTTCCGTGGTTCGCGTCTTGGCTTTGGTCCAGCTTTTTTTTCCTTTTTTTTCAAGTTCCCTTCTTTTGTGAGAAAATCTATTATTTCAAAACCTTTTTTTTTAGTAATTTTTAAAAATACGAAAATTTTAATTTTAAAAATTAAAAAAAAATATCTATTTAGTTACTAATACTATATTTATTATTTTAATAATTACCTACCCAGTAGGTAATTATTAAAATAATAAATGTAACATTATAAACAGTAAATCTCCATCAAACTCAATTTACTAATATTGTTCCTAAATAAGCAATAGCAGATAAAAGATTAGTAGGTAATAACTATTGCTCCTCAAAATTATATTTGACCTCAAGGTAAAACATATCCTAAAATTCAGTAGCTAAATAAAATAATAATAACTACTATTCAAGTACATTTTCAATATGTAAGTAAATGAAAATAACAAAAATGAAGCACCATTAGCATGTAAAGTTCGAATCCATAATTAATATTTCGACAAATATTATAATTTACACTATAAAAAGCTAATTCAATATTAGCAGTATAGTATATAGTTAAAAATAATCAAAATAGTCATTTTTATTAATTAGATAATATATTAGAATACATAATTCTAATATAATGCAACTAATATACCGAATAAAGAAAATTAAAATACATTTATCATTGTACGCCGTGTCTATTTCCATAGAAGAGTTCATTGACATTGAAAAAATAATACTACGTTCGTAGCAGTAGGTGGCGTCTTTTGGCGATTTCTTACGCGATATATTGTAGCGAGCGTCGACAGACCATACGCTCAAGGTAAGGCCTTAAGGCGCTTTATAATTATGCGTTGCGTTTAGCAACAGATGCATGTAATCAAGAATTTTAGTCATTTTTTAAAAGTTGATTTTAAATGTATTTATAGCACATAAAAATAAATTAGAACGTGTAATGTGATGATAAGATATCGAACATTAATAATGTACTTCTAGATGTAGTTTATTTTTCATAACTAATGAGATAATAGAGTCTGAAAAACGCACTTTCGCAACATTTTGGTCAGGGATTCACCTTAAGAGTGATTTCTAATGCGTTGTTATAAAATAATAATTATTACACTACAAGTGTGAAAAGTGCACGTCTTGCAATACATAACGCAGTGTTGGTACCGACTTTGTTATATGGCAGCGAAACCTGGGTATGCCAGAAGAAGCATAAAAACAAGTTGAATGCGGTGGAGATGCGATCTCTTCGTAAAATGTGTGGCGTTACCATAGCCGATCGAAATCGAAACGAAGAGATTCGCAATATGGCAGGATTGAAAGATGACCTTATCACAAAAATTGATAGGGGCGTACTCCAATGGTTTGGGCACGTTGAGCTAATGAGTGAAGAACGAATGGTGAAGAAAATATATAGAGCGAAAGTAAATATTAAAAGTCATGTCGAGGTAGACCGAGACTAACTTTCGAAGACCATGTGAGCAAATTGCTCGAAGAGGGGAAGGTCAAGAGTACTCGGATACCTAGACGTGCGTGTATGAAGAAGTTAATGAACCTGAAAGAAGCGAAAGAGTTATGTAAGGATCGTGACACTTGGCGATCTGTTCTCTAAATCGATCTTCTCTTCTTCTCTGATAAGTAAGTAAGTAAGTATAACACTACAAGTAAAATAGATAATGGAATCGTTGGCAAAAAAGTAGAAGAATTTTTATTTAATTGTTGTTAGCTACTCGTATATTAATGGTACAAAGAGACTCCTCTCCCAAGAAACCTAATAAAGTCTAGCTTTTTAGAATTTGAAATGTTTTGTGCTATTATGAGTAAAACAGAGCTGCAGTGTTCAGACTCTGCAGGTAAAAAGTTTTGCACCCGCAGGGGTTTCACGGTGTGTACGAGAACTTTGGTTGAGAAAACATAAACCGTTGGTAATTATTTTACCCTGGCGTATTGTAACACTTATAACACAAGTTCATTTTTATTTTAAAATGACGTCATATTAGGTATGTAGTCTTAATACATTTTTACATACCGTTATAGCCTATTACGAGTTCACTGATGTACATAGGCATCCCCCCTTATATTTACATACCTTCATTTCATTAACATAGTTGTAATTAGTTAAGTAAAAAATCTTTATAACAAATTGATACCATCTTTGTTTAGTTTGTAGCAGGGTGTATTAAGATTTATATAAACAACAGTTAGTCGGTAACAATGCATATATGAAATTGCTATTTATTAACATTGACTGAAATTTAAGTTTTAGTAAGAGTTAAGTTATTAGTAGTCAGTCAGTATAAACGCATTTTAAGTATGTTGATGTACGCAAAGCACAACAAACAATGATGTTTTCATTAAATGTACAGAAACAGAAAAAGATTTTTTTTTATAGAATAGGGTGACAAACGAGCACGCAGTCCACCTGTGGTAAGTTTAATTTATACTTGTAAAACAATACTGAATAAAAATGTCTAAACTAGTGATAAGCAGACGATGT